TCTGTTCTGACTGAAGTGAGGTCCCAGCCCAGCTCTACACCGGGGGATGCAGCATTCTGCTGCCTTCCTCACCCTCCTCTGCATCCAGCTTCACCCAGCAGTGATCTGGGTCCCCTCACTCAGGTGCAGCAATCCCCGTTCCCTGGCATTGTCTGTGTGTGTGTGCCCATCACCAGGGCTCAGACTGCATCTTTTCCAACCACCTGCAAGGGAGTTTGGGAGCCACCCACTCTGCTCATCTGACTTGCACATGTTCCTGGCAGGACTGGGCTGAGGCTTTGAGGTGAGCTGGGGTGCTGGCCCAGGAGTCCATGAGAAGCCTCATTGGGCACATTTGTGGTATGAAGTGAAAAAGAGCACTAGAAATTTATCCTTCATCTGGCTTCCTGACCCATCCCTGGGACACTGAGATTTCCCTTCCCAGTAGGGGCTGAACAACTGGGAGACACACAGGTCACCAGTTCCCTAATCCAGGGTCCATCTCCTCCTCCCCAGAGGGGCTGGGGTAGCAGGTGAGATCTCCTAAGAAGCCCATCAGGCATCCCACTGCCCATCATGGCCAAAAACAGGGCAGAAGACAATTTTTAGGGAGTGAGTCTGTGTGAAGGCCAGCAGAGCTCAGGACACCCTGCCCAGCACGCTCCCAGTTCAGTGGCACTGGGAGCTGGTGGGCTGGAAGCTGACCAAGAGACCATGGGAGTTGAGGAAGTCTCTCTCCTGCCTTTTCCTCGTGGCATCTCCTGCCAGGGTGCCAGCTTTGTGCCAACACAGGCAGGAAGGTCTCTGGTGGCTGTAAGACTGACAAATGGGGCACTGGTGGTGCCACCAGCAGTTCCATACCTAGGGGACATGTGTCCACAGCTGTTTTGGAGAATGGATTGGGTCATTCCCCCCACTTCCCAAAAATCCATTGAAAGGCTGCTCTTGCAGCCAGGGATCCTTGTGTCCCAGCACTTGGATAAGGTCACCACAGCCCACACAGGCTGTGACACCAGCAGGGCTCAAAGGCTCATGTCCTGCTTCCAAAGAGGATCCTTCACTCACTGAGAATCTCCCTGGGGCTTCTCCCTCCTGGATCACCTTTCCCAGGTGTTTTGCTATTGCCCAAATGTTGGTTCTTCAGGAGCTTCTTTAGGTTCGTGACTGTTTAGCCCTTAGTAGAGCCACGGATTTTGAAAATCAAAAGGTCATTTCTAGGTCACTGAATAATTACTATTGCTGTCCCCACTGTCACTAATTCCATCACAGAGAAGAAGCAGCTTGCTGAGAAATCCTCGAGCTGCAGGCTGAAAATGAAGGGCAATTCACAACAGAAATGCAAGATTAGGAGCATTTAGTGCCACGGGCTATTGGAAGGAAAAGCAGGGCCAGGAGACATCAAAGCTGGGCACAGGGATTCCCTTCATCCCTGCTGCTCCCACATGGGACTCAGCTCATCCTGCACATGATGTTATTTTCAGAGTGTTTAGCACAGTGAGGAGGTGCCTGCAGCCCCTCTGTGCTGTGCCTCCACCACAGGTCTGGGCTCTGGGGTTTTGGGTGTCCCTCCTTTCTTGAATCCTCTGGTCAAAGCACTGTGCTGGTCACAAAGTCTGTGGGGATGTCAGTGTTTGCTGTGAGCCAAGGCAAACCCTCACAGGTCAGGGGGAGGGAAAGGTGTTGCTGTTCATGGAATGGTTTGGGTTTGGAAGGAACCCTAAACTCATCTTGCAGGGACACCTTCCTCTAGGCCAGGTTGCTCCAAGCCCCACCCAACCTGGTCTGGAACACTCCCAGGTATGGGGCAGCCACAACTGCTCCGTTGCTGCTAGAGGTTTTTTGGAGGGGGGAGCAACAGGGTCTTTCAGCTGCATAGGATTATCTTGGGATAGATTCACGGATTGGCAAAGTGAGGAGGAGCATCACCAGCTGGTGGGGGCAGATCTGACTTCCCGCACTCAGAAAAGCTTTAGGAACCCTCTAAGAACAGGAATTGCTCAATTTGGGGTGGAGCAGCTCCTCCTGTGCTTGTGGGAGCCCAGCACTACACTGGGCCATGGACTGCCCTTGTGATGGTCAGGAGGTCATTCCACCCCTCAGCCAGTGCAGCATGCAAAGCGTGGCAAGGTGCTTTTCCATGGGAGATGATGCACTGCAGGTTCATTCCATGAGCAAGATGAGCAGGCTCAGCTGGGAATCCTCGTGGGCTGTGAGCTGTGCTGGATGTTACAGCTGTTGTTACTGTCCCTCTCACATGGCAGGGCACGGAGAAGCACTTTGGGCATCTCCTGCTTCCAGTTTTAATACTCAGTCCTTCTGGTCAGTCCTGGAAATGTTTGCTCTGGCTGTGATGGATGCAGGCTGGCTCAGGGAGACACTTCTGGGAGGAAGAGCAAAGGGAGGCGCAGGGAAGCAAGCGCCTGTTGTGGGGTCAGTAGGGCTGAGCTGGGTTCTGCTGCTCAAAACCAGTCCTCTCCTCTTTCCCACTGTGTTTATGGCTCTCCCAGGGCATCCTTGTCAGGGTAAAGCTCTTCCAGGCATCCCTTGGCACTGAGCTTTGGCTGCCTCATGGATAATTTCCCCAGCAGTCCCTGCCTGGGGACAGGCAGCTGCCTCTGAAGGCTCTGGAGCCGCCGGCCCCGTCTGTGTCCCAGCTTGCCCAGGGGGTGCAGAGCAGTGGCTCCCCAAGAGTTCCTCCTTGCCTGGCAGCAGAGATCACCCTCTCTCCTTGCCCCAGCTTTTGATTCAACAACTTGAATGTTAGGTATGTTGTAAAATTCCCCACTTTCAGCATCTCCGTATTTTAGATTTGGAGAAACAAACGCAGGACAAAATAATCCAAGTATTCCTTTCACAGTTCCCATGCTCTGCTGGGTTGAAAGGGAAGCTCTTAGGAGATGGATCAGGTTCATGTCTATGGCTCTTCATTGCAAATATGCATTCCTGGAAATCCAGAGCAGTCTCTATTGCCAACACCTGCATGGAAGGACTGGGAAGGATTGGGCAGCTATCAGTTGGATTTTGAGTCTCTTCTCCATGTGAGCAGCAGTGGTGGAAGCAGCAAAAATACCTTCTCTGTTTCCCTAGGTAAGGAATGCCACCCTGGGGCATTTCTTTTTATCTTGAATAACCTATTTCAGCCAATTCCCAGAAAAGTCACAGGTTCTCTGCAATGCCAACCAAACCAGCATGGAAGGAATTGCTTTGATTGGGAGCCATCCTGTGAGGCAAGACTAGCTCAGGATGCTCCATATCTGAGTTACTGGAGCATTGCCCCATCCACTGAAAACAAATCTGAGCAGTTACTAACCCCAAAACTTTGTGACCTGAGTTTTTGTCTGACGTTTCAGTTCAGTTTTTGCTTTAAGCATTGGAGACATGAGAGGCAGCGGGATCAATGCCGAGGGTCGCTCCCGTGTGCTATAAAGAGAGTGATGGGTTTGGAGTGGGAAATTAAGCTAAAGAAGAAATATTCTCTTCCAAAATAAGGGCCATTCATCGTTTGGCAAGGTGTAGAGCAGCTGTTTTCTGCTTCTTCTCAAGCACCAACCATTGGCCAGTGGGTATCAGCTTGGAGAAGGATCTGACCCAGATAAGTTTCCTGATGTTACTCAGACAAATGGAGCCATTTCATCAGTGTGCTCAATTCCCCCCAAACCAGAAAGCAAATTTCCAGGAATATACTGCTCATAACCATGGGCTGGCTCACAAAGGAGATAGAGATGTGTGTAAATATGCTATTCAGAGGAGTAAGTGAGAGCAGAATAATTTCCAGTGGAATCTGTGTGGTCTAATGGTTGAGCTGCTGCAGTGAAAGGCCCAGGGAGAGCTGGGGTGGTGCTGCAGGGCCCAGGGATGGATACATCAAACCTTTCACAACCAGAGAGGGAAAGAGGAGAGGAAAGGGGCAAAGAAAGGCTGGGAGGAACACTGTTCTTGTACATGGAGCAGGATCTGGGCTCATCCCTCCCCAGCCAGCAGAGAATCCTGCCCTGAACATGAAGCGTGAAATCCATGTCCAACAAAAATTTCAGCTAGTGCATAATGTAAGCACTGGATGGGTTTGTAGCCAGGGCTCTGGCGCTGAGAGCTTTGAATTAAACATGGGGTGACTCAGCTCTCATCCACGCCAGCCTGGGAGCAGGGATTGCAGGGACAGGTGCATTATTGATAGTTTCATTCTCCCCAGGTTGGAGCACCCGGGAGAAAAGCAGCGTCTGCTGCTTAGAGGGGGACACGGTGTGGCCACAGTCGGCATTTGCAACGCCTGCCTGCTCTTCTGCTGCTCCTGGTACAGCGATTTGTGCATCCAGCCTCTCCCTTCTGCTGCTCTCCACCTGCAGCCCCTCCACCCTGGGTGGGAGCCCCAAGGCAGGGCAGCATCTTCCAGGCCTGGAGCTCCAGGGAGCTTTGGGGGATGCACAGCCAGCTCCCTCATCAGAGAGTGGCCCTTGGGGCTTGGAAGGGGTGAGAGCCCCTGAATTTGCCTTTGGCCTTGCTGATGATCCAAAATTCTCATCTGCTCCAGCCTCTGGCGACTGCCTGCAGACCCACGGGCCCTGAGCAGGATGTTCCAGCAGCCTTGGAACAGCAGGAAGCAGGACCAAGCCTCGCTGGAACTGAGTGTGACAATTCATTACCTCACAGGAGGATGTTCTACTTCTATCCCAAAGCTTTCTGCTAAAAAAAAAAAACCCACCCTGTGTCTCCAGGCCCGGTGAGGAGCAGCCAGTGCTGCAGGGCTTTGGGCTCAGAGCATCCTGCTCCATCTCAGCTGTTTGGGATGTGAAGGGAAAACCTCATGGAAGGGGTTGGAAAACGTGAGCTAGCGCTCCTGTCAGGCTTTGCAGGGAGAGGAGTGGTTTGCCTCTTCCTCAGAACCTAATTTGAACCACAAGGATGCAGTGGGAAAAAAAAACAAAAAAAAATCAACAAAACCTGCTTTGGAAGATTTTAAAGAACAGCACGAACTAAAAAAGCTGCTGCCAAACCGAATTTCCATTATTAAAAATCAGCACTGATAAGAGCCATCTTAGATCAAATAATTTATTTAGTAATTCCATGTAAACACTTCAGATTTACTAGCAAATACAATGCTTGCTGTTCTTTTAAATAGATCATTCAAAAAATAAGAATCTATTATTAATGGCAGGTTGACTAGAGATCTCCATACTACTGTACAATAAGGAATTTGTTTTCTAATGGATTTAACATCTCGATTTTTCTTGTTCTGCATTTGCTTTACACAAAGCCCAAAGGACACAGGTTAGAACTGCTCCCTGACGATGCCACTCGGCCCGGGGTGTTTTGGGGAAGGTACGCAGGCAACTCCTCCCATCCTGGCATTGGTGTGAGCTGATGTGAGGGTGGCATGGCAGAGCTGGCGTGAACACTGTTCACAAACACACGCCTTTTCGGTCAGAAAACAGACACTGAACGGTGGAGAACTTCTCTTTGGGATGTATAAAAGCAACGAACTCCATCGTTGGCATTTACTTATCAACACAGCAGTACACATACACGTATCCACAGTCTGGAAAAGCATCCTATGAGCTGGAGAAAGCAGTGGTTCTGAGGCTTGGTACACCAGTGCACTAAAACCAAAAGAATGATACCTTCTTACATAGTCAAATGAAAAATAAATATCTTTATTTTCTGCCTACTTTATTTCAGTTTTCAAATAAATTTTAAATAAATCTGTACAAAGTATACTGTTACAGTATATATTTGTAAGTGAACTGAAATGCCTAAGTGTAACAACACTACAGGAAAGCAGTAAAGATTGGCACATCTCTAATCAAGATTAACTTTTACACTCAAAAAATACCAACGCCTGTGAAAACCCTCAAGATATTTTTGGTATTTTTATGCAAGTTGTGTTGCAAACACATGACAGACCAATTCTCCCCTGCCTTGAAAAGAAAATCACTTCTCATGCTTTTCAGAGAACATGAACATCTTTATGATGCTAAAGGGACACCATCAGGTGAAAAGAGAGAGAGAGATTTCAATTTTTAAAAAGCAAATGCTTTGGTCAAAAAAAATGGTCAGTTTTGAGACTTTGTGCACTTTTGCCCGTGTCCCCAAGCTCCAGGGTGAAGGTGCTCTGGCCAGGGACCCAAAGCCTCAGGAGAGGAGCTGTTCCCCTTGCAATCCAAAAAGAATTAACACACATGCATTTTGCAAACTGCATTTTGCGGTTTCTTTTTTCCCCCCAGAAGCAAGAAACTAAAATTGATCTGACAGTGTCCCTTTGCTCAAAATAAAGACTTCTGTGCTAGAGAGGTAAGGTGCTGAAACAAACTTTTTTCACAGGGTCAAAGAGTCAGGTACATCTCAAAAATCAAGTTTTCAAATCCAACTGCAGTTATTAGATTCATGAGCTCTCAAAACCTCCTAATATTTCGTTAAATAATTCCCAACTGGGAATTGGGGATAAATACGACAGATTAAGAGCGAGAGTTTTCTCTCTTAATCTTTCCAAAGATATATTCCCTCCAAGTTTACATGCTGAAAGTTAATCTTACATTAGAATGTAATTGGCTGCAACATAAACCTATAAATAAATCAACTACCATAGATTAAACTCTGTTAAATATTTCTAAGTTAATAAAATATTGACAGTATTATAAAATTACAGTATTTACAATAAGAAAAATCTAGACTAATATATACCTTTAACAGATCTCTTCTCCAATTTGGGATTGCAACGGAATTATGAATATATGAACAATTTATTAGAAAGTTGCATTGCAATTATCAGGTTTTCCATTAGAGCTAGAGAGGGTGAGCTATCACTGCCTTTGGAAAAAAAAAAAAACAAAACCAAAAAGTGACTTCTGATGGTGGGGTGTAGCTTTTGAGTACCAAACTGGTAACAGGAGTCCTCCGCAAGACGTCTGAAGATAAGGTAGGACCAGCCTCAACTGCTCAGATTAAGGTTGTATTACAGAACTGCCAGCAATCAGAACCACCCAGGCTGCAAAAGGGGAGGAAAGGTAGTTTTCAGCTCAAAGTGCACAGCTGGAAGAGCTCCCTTCATTCTGGACTCCAACTAAGGCTGCAGGAGCTTCGATCTGCTCTCAGGAACAGCAAAACCCTCAGCTCGGGGTTGGTGAGGAGGAAACGAGCCACGGTGCTCCTTAAAGGGACATTGTAGGGCTGCAGCTATGCCAAAAACACCCCTGTCAACCATCTGAGATCCTCTTTGACTCGCTTTTTTAGGAGGTTTTTTTGGGGGGGAGGGGCTTTGGTTTGTTTTTTGTTTTTTAAATTTTTTTTTTTTTTTTGAGTTTTTGCATTTTGTTTGCTTGGGAGAAAAAAATATTGGCCAGGACCGTGCAGTCAACTCATTTTCTATCTCTCATCAGATTCTCTGTCTCTGGGGTATTGACAAAATGTGCAGTGTTTGGGTGGCAAATACTTGTGGGGAAAAAGGAGGCTTCAACACTCCCAAGTCAATCTGTCTTGGGATAAACCAAAAGCAATTTGAGTCCTTAAAAATCGCCAGCTGCTTTTTGGGGTCTCAGACACCCAGTGATGTCCTTTTAAGGATCAGATCTTTCACTTGCCCTTTTTCCCAGCCTCGGAGGAGAAGTTTACAATGAGTTTAGGAAGGGCCACGTTCACATTCTCTCCCTCCTCCCCATGTCACATTTGCTTTCTAGGAAAAAAGGGGGAGAAAAGTAAGTTTCAAACTCCTTTCCCGCCCTTCCCTCCCCCAGTCCTGCTCACAGTAAACCAGAAATGGCAGTTTTTAGTGCATATTTTGGGATAAATTATTTTCTCAGCCCCAAGCCTGAAGATGCTAATGAGAGACCTACCCACAGGCTTCGGAGAGGAGGAGCAATTTAGGGGTTTTTGCAGTTCCCGTGGTGGGCAGGTGGGAACACCTCTGTCCTTAAAAGCAGGATTTAAAATGGTAAAAGAATAATTTGTAAACTCGGATCTACATTACCAACAGAAGGCTCTAGGTCCTGCGGGCTCCAGTTCCCAGAGATGCAGAGCAGGAAAACTAGAAAGAGAACTCGGTACCTTTCAACCACCTGCTGGGTTGTACTGGGGGGGAGTGGGGAATGAGAGAGACAAAATGCCAACTGACCTTATAAACAAAGGTATGTTTAGGGCTTCTGGTTTCAGGAATAAACCGATATTTACTGGTAAAAGTCTGCCAAAAAACAAAAACAGAAACACAGGATTACTGGTAAATATTGGTTTATATGGAGAATTAAAAAAAAAAAATAAAAAAATAAAAAAAAAAAGAGATGTCATCGTGCTCCTGATCTCCATGTGCTCCCAGGCAGGAGCTGAGAACCGACCCATGGCATCCCTGCAGTGTCTCTGGCACCTGGACACCTCAAACCAGAAGCCTTGTGTTGAGAGGAAAGTCGTGTTTGTTTCCTTTACTCCCCTTAAACCACGTGTTTCTGGATTCCCCCCTCCCTCCTCCTCAAGGCTGGTCCTATGGGGGTTTGGCTCAGGAGATGGGAAGTCTGCTTCCAAAAGCACTTGGAAGTGAATTTGTACATAATATGGTATCTCAGCACAAGGCTGCTGGGACCTGAGCCTCTGCTGCTCCCTGAGATACCATAAAATATACAAGACTGAGGGTATATTTTAAATAAAGCATTTTCTTGTAAGTGGCATAAACCCATTCATTTTATTTACATGCTTATTTATTTCCAAAAATAGAGTTGGTCCACATTGGACAAGAGAAATCAAGAAGCCATACAGTAGAAGAGTTAAAAGTCCAACATTTAACCAAAGTACAATGAAATTCCAGAAGTCTGTGGCTGACTTGAACCACAGAAACATACACATGAGCCACACAGACACTTGTACATAGAGCATTATATTACCAATAATATTTGCAAACATGAGGTCAAGATGGCTAAAAACCCAGCAGGACTGACCCGGGCGTCCTGGCTGAACAGAAGTGGCTGCTGAGGGGCCGTCACTGCAGTGGGGGGAACACAACTCTCCAGAGATTTTACTTCACTTTTGGTGTGATTTTTTTTTTTTTTTTTTTTTCCTTTAACTGAGATAAAGTCCTAATTTTTCTGCCCTGGGGATCCGAATTGAGGACATGGTGAAAGCCAACCCCATGGAGCTCCCTGAATGCCGGGGTGCCGGGGGCTCAGACCTGCGGGACAAGCGCGGATGCCGCACGGCACCGGAGGGCAAACCCTGCCCTCTGCTACTCGGCCTTAAAAGATCACCTGGAAAAGAAAAAGTCGGGATTTATACCCTTGTGGTGTGCTGGAAAAAATCTGGATGGGGTTTGCTTTGAAAACAAGGGTTCTCCTCCCTTGCCATGGGAAATTTTTGGCATTAGTTATTCCAGTCCTGTCTACCTTTCCTGGAAGATCACAAATATCCTAGAGGATGTTGCACCGACACATGAGGGAATAACTATTTTACTTTAAAAACAAACAAACAAAAAAACCCCAAAAAACTTGGAGGATGAACAGCAGAAGAAAAAAAAAACAAAAAACAAATGGAAATGATGCCTTATCTCTGTGTGAGGGCCCAGCTTGTCTGGGTATTCCCATGGACCTCACCATGATAAAATCTGAGTGTCTCCAAAGGATGGAAAAACAGACTTCAATCTGTATGTTCTGCTGCAGAAAATCACAGCAAGTAAAAGGGGGAAGACAGTTGTAGCACTTCTGGTACTTCCACAAACCACCCACTACAGGGGGTAGAACCACACGAAAAGGGTATAAATTAATTTTCCTTTTTCAAGTCATCTTTGACACTCACGCTATTAAGCCTAGTCCAATGTGAATGCTAGTACAGAGCTAATGTACAGAATACCAGCGATAATTATCGGTACCTAAGAGGATTTAAAGGTGAGTATACTCAGTACATTGATTAAAAAACACTCTGACAGCAGTTACACAAAGCAGCCGTGCAGGTCTCTACGAGGACGGAGCCTTTAGCACAAGTCGCTATGATCATCTGAGCCTGTGACAGACAACTCGATCTTCTAATTTGTTTCCTAGAACATTTCTAACTGCAGATGTGAAATACATTTTAAAACAGAGATGGGCCTGATCCTGTGCAGTTGGGTACGTACAATACACCCCAGTGAAACTCAAAGCCCAAATTCCTAAAGAGAGAGCACAAGAAATTGTTGTCTTACATCAAATAACTATCATGCAAGCATACCACGACGGTTTTATATTGAGTACTTCAAAGTCAGCTGGTATAATTTAACTATTAGTGAGCAATCTAATGGATTTCTAAGGGTAGGGACAAAGGTTGTGCCAATGACAACCACCTGATTACCAGGGAGAGCAGCACAGGGACACTGTGGGGTCTAATGAGCTGTGGTACAGATGAGTTCCTGCTCAGCAGCCTCAGAGAACCTGGAATGGGCAGGATTCCTGTGGCAGGCTACACACCTTCACTTCATCTGCTCTGCTACCAAAATCTGAGTTCTTCCTCAATGAACAATTCACTTACAGCCTGACACACTGATGGAGCATTAAAAATTGTGTTGTTGTTGTTGGTTTTTTTTTTTCCCCCTGTCGCCTCCTATGTCCCAGGGTCAGCCCCATGCTCACAGCATCAAACCTTATGCTCTTCTCAATTTTCCAGCCACAGCCAGGCTGGGGTTCACTTCTCCAGTCTAACCCAACTACTCTGCTCCTTGTCTTTAAACATAAAATCTGACTGAAAGCCTCACGGTGCCTGCAGTTATCTTGGCTCTGACCCAAACTCCAATGACTTATCAAAGCACTCACTCTTTGCTACCATGATCCACTGGAGATAGGGAAGGTGAGGGAAGCCAGGGTATTTGTTATAACCCCATGACTTTTAAGAAGCCTAAAACTAAGTCAGAGCAGCAAAAGGTTGCTCTGGCTGACACCAGTGACCTTTGGGTTCTCTTAGGTCTCTTGGGAAGAGAGGTAACAGGTCTGCATGTGCACACACCAACAATCCTCCCTCAAGGACAGACCTAGGCAAAAGCTGGAAGATGCTGCCCAGTCCTCCTTCCCTTTCTGCCCATTATAAAAATCAAGACCTTTGAGTTTTTTCCTAGTAAAAAGATAAGAAACCATATTCCCACAATATGAGCTGCTGAGATCTGGCAGACCTACAAGTCCAGCTCAAGGCAGGAATTTGAACTGGAGGTGTTGCTTTACAGGAGAAATCTAGATGCCATATTACCCAGTATTCTGGGCTTGTTTCTCCCCTCAGGCTAGGCTTTGCAAGCTGGACCTAGTGGTGTCCACCACAAAAGTTTCATGAAAATCAACTTCTCCGGACAGCTGCTTTGGGTTTAATGAAACCATTGAATGGAATTCATTTGCTCAAAGGCTGAAGATGCAGACTTGGAAGCCTTTAATCACCTTCTCTAATTGACTTTAGTCCACCTTTTGCTTCTTAAGTGGCAAATATCAACTGCAACCAAAGAAGGACTTTGTGGTAATTCTTTTGTCATGACAAGCCTATTTTTTATCCTGCTGTTTGTCAATGTGTTCAGACATTCTGGTAGGTGCAAACCAGACAGATCATAGATAGGATCAAAGAATGGATTGGGTTGGATCACCTGGTCCAACCCCCTTTCTCTGCAGAAAGTATGTTGCTTTCCAGCTCTCATACACTGAAGAGCTACAGCACCTGAGCTTCTCCTTCTCCAGCTGGAGTTCAGGGTTGCTGATCTGCAGTTCCCAGTGTCTCGATTAATACTTTAATTAAAAAAAAAGAATAACCTGTCATTAGGACGTAATCTAGTCATGGAGAATACTAAGCTGTTTTTTTGACAGCCCTGTTTTTGTTAGTACCTTCAAGTGTTTCAGTTCCAAGCTTTTTCAAAACCCCTTGATACACCTGTTGCTCCTGCACTTGAATTTCCTACTTTGCTCCAGCATCTCTGCCTCACTTGAGTTTCAGAGGAAGGCTCCTTATCTCATCCAAAAGGCTGAGGTGATGGACAGCAGGCTCTCAAATATGCTTTGTGGTCTAGAATGACACGGAGGAGTTACTCCAGTGGCATGGAATAGTGCAGGAAATGAACTCTGTCTTCAGTCCTGCACAGCCAGATTTTTTCCCCAGCCCTGTCTCTGACATCCCTCAGACAGCATTGGCTCCCCAAAGCCCCCAGCTCTGCAAAGCCCCTCCTAAACAGCTTCATTTTCAGATCATGGTTACCTGCCTTACAACATGGTTCTTCCAGTCTGCTCCTCAAGAGCTGCACTGTCCTTTGGTGGAATCTTCCTGAACTCCCGAAATCCCTTCCTTTGTAACTATTTTTAACAACAGTTTTAGGGTTGTTCGCTCTTTCGTGACAGAGTTCTGCCTCACCTGGATGCCAGTAACCTTCCCAGGTATGTATGGGAAGTCTAAGGACTTCATTTTTGTCATTTTCTCCCCTGCAATATTTTGGAACACAGGACTCAATTTTAGTCCAGCACCTTCTACCCCTGAGAATGCTGAGCCTGCAGTTCAGTGACCCCAGGTGGTCACTGCTACTTAACAACTCAACAACAATTGTGTCTTGAATCAGTTATTATTCAGTCCTGAACAAAGACTAACTCTAGACCAGGCTGTTACAAGAAATAATCCTTTAAGTAAATCAAGATGTTTGCTCACCAAAATGTTAGCCAGTACCTTGCCAAATAATCTGGCCAGCTAGCACAGTCATAATGGAACTTACTTTTCCTAACAGGTTTATGAAGATGCAGGAGCCTGTTTTTTTCCCAAGGCTCATGAAATCATCAACTTTCCTTTTGTCTGGAATAGAAAACTTCTTAATACCTCCATATCATTAAAATAGAGAATTTATATCCAACATAAATGTGGTTGTTTGGTCGTCAGTACCCCAATTTCCTCAGCTTTTACAGCAACCTTTTAGATGTAGTGTTCCTCCTTTATGACCTAACACACCTGCTACAATGGCAGTATCTTATTGATTTCCATCACCCCCACCACGTTTCAATCAGCCCTGCTGTGCTGGGGTCTTTTTTCACCACTGAGCAGTCTACAACAACTATTTGTGTCTCCTGTTTCCACCCTGTTGTGCCCATTCCCTACTCCAGCCCAGTCCCTGCTGTGCACACAACTCTGCTCCCAACCTCTACGAATGCCCCAGCCCCGACAGCCTCAGCCTCCCACCAGCCTGTCCTCCCCAAACCCTGCCCACTTCTCGTGCCAACAGCC